GATACGCAGGCTTTTATATTGAATTTTGTCTAACACGTTAAGTGATGCTTTACTACATGGCTCGAAAAGAAAGCATCCATAATCGATGTGGCTACGAATTAGTGAGTTGTAAACTAATTTTTGAGAGAATGGATGAGCGCCCCACCATACGCCAGAAAGGGACCGAATAATGTTCAAATTTTTCTCACATTTTTGGGAGATATAATCAATGTGAGTAACAAATGATAATTTGGTGTCAAGAAAAACACCTAAAAATTTAACTGAATCACTTATGGGAATATGCTGGTTATCATAAGTTATTATAATATTTGGCACATTTTTACGCCGAGAGAAAAACTACGACATTACTTTTGGAGGGGGAGAGGGATAAGCCATGTTCAGTTAACCAATCTTGCAAGTAGTACAAAGCGGAATTTAGACGTGAGCAAGCTGTAGAGATGTTATCTAGGGAAATGTACAAGGCTAGGTCATCTGCATACTGAAGAACATTACAAAATGAATTGACAGAAAGCTCTAGATCAAAAGTATATATATTATAGAGGAGAGGACTAAGGACAGAGCCCTGAGGTAGGCCTTTCCAGACAGTTCTTGATGGAAGGAGTGAGTTTTGAACATTTACTAAAATTGACCTGGAGGAAAGGTAGTTAAAAATAAAGTTAACAATCTTCACTGGTATGCTCAGCTGTAACATTTTCTGTCTGAGCACAGGAAGAAGAACATTATCATATGCTGAAGAAACATCTAGAAATACCCCTACAAGGTATTGTTGCTTTGAATAGGCAATTCGGATATCTGTGACAAGCGTGCTTAGGCTATCCATTGTGCTCAAACCTTTTCGGAATCCAAATTGGCTCTTTGGTAGATAATTTTGGCTTTCCAAAAACCACTCTAGGCGATTTTTTATTAAATGCTCAAGAACTTTGGCAATTGTACACGAGAGAGCTATGGGTCGAAATCCAGATGCATCATTACCAGCCTTACCAGGCTTAGGGACAGGAATAATGATTTGCGACTTCCATTCATCGGGTGGGATGCCAGTCATGAATATATTATTCAAAAATTTAAGTAAAATCAGTTTTGTTCTTTCACTACTATTAATTATAAAGGAATAGGGGATTCCGTCAATTCCTGGTGAAGAATCTTTAAGACCACTAAGAACACAGAAAAGTTCTTGTGGAGAAAATGGGGAATTAAATTTATCAGCCGGTTGCTTTGAGGGAGAACCAAAAAATAGACATTCATCATAGTTTGGGGCTGATGGTGGAGCAAGTTTATTCAAAAAGTCTCCAATCCAAACAGAATGATCATTAAAAGTAGGGTCTACACTAACCATTGCACATCGATCAAGTGATGGAGGAGTATTGGGAGACATGGATGTACAAAACCTGAGCCAGCCAGCTTGTTTCTTTTGGGATAACAATTTCATAGTCTCTGCTGCAGTTTTTTTATAAAAAATGTAATTCTCTGTGGTCATTGACTGTGAGTATCTACGTTCAGCCTCTTTTCTCTTTTTACATGCTTGTGTGCAGTCATGATCCCACCAAGGGGGAGATGGAATGTTATTTTTAAAAGGAGTTTTGAGTGGAAAGACTCTGTCAGCTACAGATAAAAGTAGATTTCGAAACTCTTTAAAAACTGAAAGGACATTATCTTTATTAATTGGGGGTAAATCTAAAATTTGACTATCTAAAATTGATGAGTATAGTGACCAGTTAGCTTTGGTTAAGTTATATTTTTGACGAGGTCTAAATTGATTGTTTACAAATAGAGAAGAATTAGGAAATGTAACAAAAATTGGGAAATGATCACTACCATGCGTAGAAGGGAGTATATGTGCCATGAAAGAAGAGAACGAAGATCTGGTGAGCAAAGTGACAAATCCACAGCACTTTTTGTATTTTGAATTGGGGATGTTCGACGGGTTGGAGAGCCATCATTTAGAAAACAAAGATTTAAATTATCAAGTAGTTCTAAGAATATGAGGGAAAGTGCATCAGAATACTGAGAACCCCACATAGTATGGTGGATATTGAAGTCCCCCAATATAACAATAGGTGGTGTGAGAGACGACAGAATAGAGAATAGCTCTGAAATAACTGAAGCATTAGGTGAAGGGATATAAATAGATAAAATTGAAGTATTAAAAGCTTTTACTCCTACTATATTTATAGAAGAGGAGTGGGAGGGGAAGGAAATAGAAGAGAAGGGTACTTTCCTTGAAATAAAAATAGCACTGCCTGCATGACCATCATTTCTGTCATCTCTTAGGCATGAATACCCACAGACTCGGAAATGGGATCCTGGCTTGAGCCAAGTTTCTTGGATAGCTAGAATAGAGGGATTAAATTTATTAATGAGATGAAGAAGTTCATGTTTTTTATTTCTAATGCTCCGACAGTTCCATTGTAGTATCGGAGGGAAGGTTATTGGTGAATGAAATCAGCTGAGTAAGTTTTTGTTTTAAATTAAGTGGAAGATCAACGTCACTGAAACGAGACAGCATGCTAATCAACATGGAAATTAACAGTTCAAACAGATTATCATTTGGGGTTAAGGTATCCTTTCCAACTAAGGCACTGCCATTAGGAAGGGAGGAAGGAGGGGTTGCAATAATTTCTTGATGAGCTGCCCTATCATACCCAGGACTAGAGGCAGGCTTATAGGGAGACCTAGGAATAAGGACAGTTTCTCTGTATGAGTTGTGCTGTATTGGAATTGTAGTGTGATTTCTTATAGGTGTAGGAATTGAAGTTCCAATATGAGAATTGACTGGTAGACTCTTAGCAGTATCAGCAAAAGTTTTACGGACCTGGGAGAATCTAACAGAAGCCTCAAGATAGGAGATATTCTCCTGAGACATTACTAGTTTTATAGATTTTTGTCTGGACTGTTCAGGGCAAGATGGATCTTTTGCAGTATGAGGGCCTGAGCAGAACAGGCAAAGTGGTGACTTGGAGCATGAAATTCCCTCATGATTTGATGAGCAAACAAAACACCGGGGGGCAGATCTACATTGAGATGTTACATGTCCAAAACGGCAACATTTGAAACATTGTATGGTTGGTAAAACATAAGGTTCAATAGGCATTGAGGTATAATAGGAATAAATATGGAGTGGGAGTTTCTGTCCTAAGAAGGTCAGTACAACAGTTTGGGTGGGGATCCAGTTGGGAATGTTATTTTCATTTGTTGAGCGTCTATTCATTCTACGGGCTTTAATTATTGTTCCATGGCCATTTGGTACTGTTATTGAGGAAACAAAATCTTCTAAAGCCCATTCAACAGGGACTTGTCTTACTATTCCCATGCGAGTTACATTATATGATGGGATGACAGCTTCATACTTAGCAGCAGAAAGAGCAGGGTGAGATATAAAATTGTTGGCATCAGCTACTGTTTTAAATTCCACTGAAATTCTGTTCCTACCAACCTTTTTAACTCCATCACAAACCACATTCTTAATATTATTATGGTATAAGAAATGCCCAAACTGAATGGGTTTTAAAACTGCTCCAGAGGTAACCTCTGTTAAAATTTTGCTAACATGTACTAAGAATGGAGCTTCATCATCAGTAGAATAGGATGTTTTTTTGTCAACATAATTGGGATGAACATATGTAGATTGCATGGATGGGAGAGACTGGGATGGATCAGTAATAAGCCTCTTCTGAGGATGAATGGACACATTGTGAGTATACGAACGTTTACGATTAAAAGTATCAGTGCTATCTAAGGATACATGATTAGAAGAGGAAAAGGAATTTGGTCCAATATTAGGTGGATCGGGATCAGGAGGATCCTCCTCCATAGTGTTAATAGCTACTTACATACAAAAAACGGCACAATTTACCACAAACTACCTAAAAACAAGACAAAACAACACGAATGTTAGATTAAAATAAATCAACAGTACTTAAAAGTACGGAAAAAGCAAAAAAAATTTACACAACGCTTGTATGTATCACTAAGCCTCGTGCGCGAATCCACCTAAAATCTTAAATGTCAAGAAGCCACTAAACGTTAGTACGTTTAGTGGTTTGGCCGTCCTGCGTAGTGGCAGTGCTGCCATATGCAAAAAAAGATGCACTTAGCCTTTATCAAAATTACGATACATTATACGAAAATATGGATGCTAACTTAGGAGTTTTTTTTTTCGTAAATTTAGACAGGAAATATTTACAATAGAAATTATTTGGAAGGTAATTTTTTTAGAAATATTTTTAGAAAGTAAATTTTATTCATATTTTTGAAAAAATCTACACAGGACTAGGTACTTTATTTTAAACAAAAAAAACGTATGCATCTACTCATAACTAAAACTAAGCGAAAAAACTGTTCAACTTGAGAAAAGCTTAGGTTATTACTTAAATTTTACGTATGATATAATGTGAAGAAAGGTTATTTATTAATAAAAACTTTCATCCAACAACAAAAAAAAAACATAGCATAATCGCTATTTTCTTTTTTTTCGAGACGTCAAGTAAATCCATAATTATTACAACAACAACCCTGACACTATTGAGAAAGGAAACAGTACTGATGATGGACGGCCTGCAGGATAGTCTGTGACTGTGGGCTACATCCTGCTTTACAGTCATGCACGGCGGACTGCCAGGCAGGATAGTGAATGGGCCCCTTAAGAGCTATACTGTATCTTTTGGTTTTGGTAATTGGTTATATTTCTCATATAGCAACATTTTCATTGTAACCAACAACCAACCAATAATAACTATTATAGGTACTTACGTCAAAAGAGCTGACGTCGGGAATGGCAATTTCTAGAAAATACTCGAATAGCCATTGGACAGATGAGGTATTGTTTGATATGTTGCCAGCAGTGCCGCAATCAGTCGGTGTCGTAAGTCGTTACTCTCATGATTTGGATTTTGGATACGCCTTGTGTGTGTGAATTTCGTTAAAACCAATTACTTAACAAGAATCATTTAAATTTTGGATTTTCTTTGTAACCGAAAACATCTGAACACTGAATATTGTACAAAATGTCAGAAACTAAAATAAAAGAGGTAATAAAAAAGTGACATTATTTAAATATATATAACGCATAGTTTTGCTTTTTTATAAAAATTTTACACTATTTTATTTAGCTGAAAAGTGACATCGATGAATTGAATGAATTGCTTCAACAAGCTAAACGTAAAAAGGTTCAAGATCTTTTATCATTAGAAGTACGAAAATTAGAAACTGAATGGTTAAACCTCAATGAAAGTGCCGCAACCTCTGCCACTCCTATGAACGCTACTGCTATTCCCACAACATCTTCCTCAGTTTCTGAAAAACGATATCAGGTGAAACTCAATGGCTATGGTGAGTGTTAAATGGGCAAAATGTGATGCCAAGCCATATTTTTTTAATTAACTATGAACTTTGTTAAACTTAATGACCACATGCCAGTGATTAAACTCATAATGTTAGTTATCATTGGTTTGATTAGTATTTTAATATTGTATGAAATGAGAATAATAAGCAAAAAAAATTATGATAATTGTAAAAAATTACCAAATTGAATATACCTTTCTCAGTAATTGTTTGAAGATTTTAACTTATACAAGTTTAATGCTCTGTGCTCTTTTTCAGGTTGGGATCAATCTGACAAGTATATAAAAGTATTTGTTACTCTGAAGAATGTACAAACAGTGCCAAAGGAACAAGTCTACTGTAAATTAACTGAAAAATCTATGGAATTAATTGTTGAAAATTTGGAAAATAAAGACTATACGTTGCTAATTAACAATTTATTGGAACCGATTAATATTGGAGAAAGCCATTGGAAACAGAAAACAGGTAATAATATACTCTAAGATTTATCATGTTAACTAGAAAATATAAAAAATACCTCCCATGACCATGTGACACAAAGTATTTGCATTTCAAAGAAGTTTCAAAGAAAAATTATCAAATTATCTACAAGTTAATTTTTCAAAAAAGAAAAACTTATGAGGTAAATACAATAAGGTGGTCTTATCGCTCAAGCGTGATCTTAGGTAATTATCAAGTATGTAACAAGGTTTATGCATTCATCAATAGGTTTCTATGAACACCATGTTAGCTGAAGTCTGCATTTTGGGTTGCAAATATGTTGAGTTGCAGTTGTTAATATTTTTTCTGTCTTATTGTGACATATTTTATTCGGGATGTTTGATTCAATCTGATACTTATGTGGATTGAAACAATTGATTATGTTCCAGTTGATTACAGTTAAAGCTTATTCGCAGATTTAAAAAACGCTATCCAATTCCTATATTCGGGGCTAAAGATTTCTTTATTCGCGGATCTAATCGGTATATTGGTACATACACATTGATAAAAAGGATTCCAATATAACCTGTAAACTGCAACCAAAGCCAAATTTGCAAATGGGATAGGACGAAATGAGTTCGAACAGATAGAATCAAGTGACATTTAGAAGTTGCTTGAATCACAAGATGAAGATTTGAATGAAGCCGACTTGGAGGAAATGATGAATTCACAGCCCATTGAAAAAGAGGCTTCAACAAGCACGGGAAATGTGACATTTAATTTTAGAACTCTTAGTTAAGGTTTAAAAATTTCAAATGAGCTTTAGGATTTCTTTATGAAAATTAATCCATCTACGAAACAAAGTCTTATTCTTAAGAGGCAAATTGTAAATTCCACTGCTGAATATCAGTCTGAATTAAAGGAGCTTTCAATAACTGCCGAGCAAGAAAAAATTACAAAATTCCTTATACCATTGCCTAAACCAGAAAATAATAATCCGAATCTTCTCTGTACCACCCCAAGGTTGACTGGGAGATAATGGCTTTGGCATTAAGTCCACCTCTGTACAGTTTTTGCATAAAGTTTAAATAAATAAATAATCAATATTCTCAAAAACTTCACTTAAATTCATATTTTTATATATTTGTTTTTATTGTGTCACCTAGGAACTTATCCCCTATAATCCCATATAAATTACCATTCCATATTCACGGTTTCTGTATTTGGGGCATATTTACCGAACATATACCCCGCGAATTTTACTAGAAAGTCTGACCACCAAATTATTGGTCTAACCATAGCCCAATGTTATTTATTGATAGTAGGAACTACTGTACCTATCATAAATGTTTTCTCATTGTTAAATTATATATTGAATAAAGCAATAATTGCCTTGATCCAAAAAGACCAAAATTACTACATCTGCATACATTGAAGTTTCTCCATTGATTATATATTAACTAAACTTTGTATAAGATGAATAGAATCAATACTCCCATTGACAAAATGTATTACAAACCAGAACCGCTTTATATGTTATGTGTGGAAGTAGAAAATAAATAACTACTACTATTATTTTATTATCATTGTCTAGTTTTTTAATGTATTTGAATAAATGGCAGGATTTTAAAATGACTGTAAAATTAATCTTGTTTTAGATATGGTTGTTATTTTCCTGGCCAAACAGAATCCAAATACAAAATGGTCTCACATGACTGAAATTGAGAAAAAGTTTGAAGATAAACGCAATATCCGCTTAAATGATGGATTGGAGAAGAAGGATCCCCAGGAGTCTATCATGTCTCTTATGAAGAATATGTAAGCTTAAACACAAAATATTTTCACTAGCGACCCGCCCCAGCTTCGCATGGATTTAATATATTATATATATAAACCTTCCTCTTGAATCACTAATCAAGTAAAAAAAACGCATCAAGATCTGTTGCATAGTAGATCTAATTATTAGATCCTAATATACATAGGGACAGACAGACAGCGGTGTCTTTGTTTTATACTGTGTAGTGATGGTACATTACAAATAAATAGTTAAAATTTTATTTGGTATGAATTAATAAATATAATGTAATTATTTGTAATTTTATATCCAATGTTTATTATTAAAGCACCAACAAAAACTATATATTATACTGTGAAAAATTATGGTATACAAGTCTAATACCTTTAAACGAGCAATTCTTGTATGTGTGTATACAGGTGTCGTTACCATCGCGACAATAAATGAACACACGTCTAACGCTACGCTAATAATCATAAAAAATATTAACGTTAAACAAAATCCATAATTAAAAAAAAAATGTTTTTCTAACAAACTAATTAAGTAAAAAAGAAACAAAATTTGTAACATCCATACAACTGGCGCCACAGCGTCGTATTCCAAGCCTCTCCTTCTAACAGTATGTTTTGTCTCTTTTAAATTCATTCAACCCATTCATATGCTTTGTGACCTTTACAAATGAACTTTACGTTACCCTGTTATAGGTAAGGATGTTCTAAAATTCTTTGTTTTCGAAAATTTAATAACTCTGTAAATATTGAAGTTTAAAGAATTTAAATGTTTAATACAACTTTAAAAAGTTATCCCCTATATGTGTGTTCATTTATTGTCGCGATGGTAACGACACGCTGTATATATATATATATATATATATATATATATATATATATACATATAATTCGAAATATCATTCGAATATGACGGTAAATTTCGCCGAAAAAAATGTTATAATAGGTCGGTAATCGGGCGGCCCCATAATAGAAGGCTGCGGTTCGTGTCACGATCATTTACACACTTATTTTTTTTTACTTTTTTTCTTTACCAGATCAATGCTTTCTTTATTTCTCATTTTCACGATTTACCAAAAAAAAAAAAACCTCCCGGTACAATCCTTGAAAGGTACTTTATTTTGTGGTCTTATGTACATTATGGATATTGATGTTCAAATTTTGTTTTATGTTAAAAACATGTTCATACTAAATTGTTTACACAAGTTTTTGACGGAAAACATTTGACATAATCCATTTTGTTAATAAGATTTATATTATATTCTAAGGTACAATACCAATATAAAATACCTTTCAGGAATAAAATATAAATATATCCAGTTAAAGTACTCACAAGTTTTTAGTAACAGTTGACCCTTTTATTTTTTTTCAGGTATGAAACAGGTGATGATGAAATGAAAAGAATGATCTCAAAAGCTTGGTATGAGGGGCAGCAAAAGAAGCTGACAGATACTCTAAATCTATAAATGATGAACATTTATTTTTAAGTTCTACTTTTAATTTAAGTATTTTACTTTTATTTTTTTTCAATGTTACTGTATTGAATCAAATAAAAACATGGAATCATTATGTATTTTATTTTGTTCATATGTAACATACTATAATTATGTTATTTAAAAAATAATGAGCCGTCACGGGACGCCTGGCAGAAGTGAAACATTGACATCATTTTGTAAAAGTAATATGCACAAAAGAACAGATTGTGATAGGAACTAAATATGTCATAATGATAAAATAAAATATTACGATTTTTTTCCAGGTAACGATGACTATTTATTGAATAAACATTTATTTTCATTAAATACAAAAATTTACGAATTTATTTCAAATCGTGACTACTTTATTCGTTTGATCAGTGACTTCGGTAATAGTACACACAATTAATTAAAGTTAATTTAATTAATTAATAAATAATTATAAACAATTAATTTAAATTTGAGTAATTAATCGTACGCACCACTGCATATAGACTATATATATACCATCATATAGCGTGGCGAGCCGTCGCCACGCCAGAAAGCGGTTTTACGTGCGGCTAGAGATGTTTCACATAAAAAACGTGTCAAAATTGTATTGGATTATTCCTTCATTATGATTTTGGGGCCTTCATCTATGGCAGATTCTCGCGTTAGTGTCTCCCCAATTTGCAGTATTCCCTAGAACCATTGAGATATGTCGTTAAAAAAATTGTCTCGAAATTTTCAGCTTCCTCTTGAAATATGAGTTAAACATTATGTATAAGTAAATTAGCTAAATTTACTTTGTCTTAAATAATCAACATCTATTGTTTAGTTGATCAATCATTAATACTATGCATCATTTATTTTTAATTTTCCTAAAACTAATAAGCATGCCATCTCTATAGTCTGCAGACTTAGGCATGTCTGCACTAATGTTCATCTTGCAAAGTAAGAATAAAAGATAGTTCTCTCTGTGAATGTGGCCTAGATGAGGATTCATATATTTTTGACTGTTCCAGAACTCCAGTTTGCTTCCTTCAAATGTCTCTCGTCTGTCTAACATCAAAAACCTTTAAAATAGATAAATTCTTCATTTGTTTATATTTTGTCATTTTATTAAGTAATAGATGTTGTAGTATTAACTTATCATAATATTCACAAAATTATTTTATTCGTTGTAGGTAAATCATATATGTAAATTTGTCCGTATATTCTATATATATATATATTAGATTAATGGAACCATCATCATATCATTATAAAAGCGGAGCAAAAATAAACAACTAGAAGATATTCTTAATTAGTGAAACCATTTGCTTCTCATATAGGTACCATAATAAATTATGCAATATTATGGCAGGACCGCCAACTGCCTTCGAAGGAAAAGAATGTATGCATAGATAAGACATTTAATGAATGTATGAATTCAGAATAAGTTATTCTCCATATACATGTTTATTATTTTAGTTCACGGTAGTACCGCCGCGTTGGATAATACAAGAAGTAACATAAAAATAATTGAGGCTAATTGTTAATTTATCCAATTTTTTTTAAGATAACCCTTTCAAGGCATTCACTCTTCTAACAAAACTACATATTTGGAACTAAATTCAATGATAGAAAAAGAAAACGCAAATTTGTAAGGAATAATAAAATTACAAGTTGGAACCCAAAGGTTTATTTTATGATAATTCATTTAATCCTAATTGTATCCATAGGATTGGATGACGGTAGTGAATGGTGCTGTCGCCTTCGCCACTTTCTCACCGGCTTCCTTGGTAATTTTCTGCAATGGACAAAATTTTATGTTCAGTGGTATCTTAATAAAGTAACGGTAAAATAATTGAAATTTTAAAATCAGTTAAAATATTTTTTCATAGTACTCAAATAATGTAGGTAAGTTGATTAATCATCATTAATTTCTTCAAATGTTAATTTTACAAATCCTTAAAAAATTCACACATGAATTCCTTATCACTCGTTTTTTATAGAAGTTTTACGAGATTATTACAATAATCTTTACATATATATTACCTTAAGTTTCCTCTCATAAGCAATTTTGTGAATGGCCTTGAATTTCCTCTTGTCTTCAAGTTTACGAACAACGTCGCGGTATTTCCATCCGACTTCATGAGATAAACGTCCGACATGACAGTACTAAAATTAAATTAAAGTTTTAGAAGAAATAACAGTTAAACAAAAAGTTTTTTTTTTTTATAAAAGGATCAGAAATTCCAAATGGCAACATTTAGTTTTCAGTCGCAAATTACCCTTTTAAATAGCATCATTGTTTAATGGTTTTTTATTGATTGCCATGTTGTGAAAAGTTGGGCTTACTAAAGTTCCAAAATTTTTATTACATTCCTCACATCAAGTATTTAAAAAACGATAAACTTTTTGAGTCTATAAAATATATATAGTTATTTACTTTAAATGACCCTTAAAGTGAGTTTATTAAAAACATTTCATCTTATGCAGACTAAGCACTAAAAATAAATAAAGTCACTAATAAAATTAGTCTTATTTTTCAAACATGGCCCTGAACTATACTATGCATATAAAAACTATAATAGAAGAAAGTTATAATTAATATGTGGAAAATGATTTTGAACAAATTTACTTAAAATAATGTACCTTGCGGCCAGGTTTAAGACAAAAGACTCTCAATGCTGCCGGAACTACAACACGACGACGATTATCAAAAGGTGGTGGGCAACCATCATAGGCACGCAGTCTTCTTAGAGCATCCTTTCCACGTTCAGTCTTGTGAGGGATCATGCCTAGAATGTTGCAAACAACGAGATAATTTACTTTGTTATGGTTAGCTATTCTATTTTGCAGGTCAGATAATTTCATAATATTTTTTTTATCATAAACATCAAATAATGTAGGTAAATTGTAGAAATAATCATTAAATATAAAAAAGATTTGATTACCTATACATATAATAAAAATGTAACTGATTGTTGTCTGTACATGGAAGATTTTAGAGAATAATTATGTTGTTGTATGTGTAGATAGTATATTGTCTATTTGTCTGGTTCTCTGTGTGCACTAATCTCAGAAAGACCTTAACTTATTTGAGTTGCAGTAAAGGTGCAGACTGGTGGCACAGGTTTCTTTCTCTAATAAATATTTTAAGACAATAAAATAACAAAGCCAAAATTTGATGTTAAGAGTAAAAATCTACGATATTGCCTAATTATCATAAAAAATGAATATTAAAATTTATTAACTCTATTACGGAAACACAATCCTATTACAAAAACTAGCTTGAGTTAAAGACAACATTAGGTTAGACTAAAACGTATTTACAATGTTTTTTCCTACCTCTTACAGTTTTCCACAGAATCTTGGATGGGGCTCTGAAGTGGAATGGGCCACGAGCAGGGTTGACGTTGCAACGTTTACGCAGAAATGACATAAACTTCAATTTGTTCCTAAAAAGTATGACATTGTTTAAACACATCCAACGTCACGTTGATTCCATGTGGAATGTAAGTAATCAGAATTTTAATTAACAACATTTGAACATTCAGTCGCAAATTACCCAAAATGTATAACATCATTTAGATTATTCAGATAGTAAATATCATGAAAGATTTTTTTACCTGAAAAAGTTGCCAGAGATGTTGAGTTGTTCACATCGAACAACTACTACTTTATTCCCTTCCAGCAAAACTTTAGCAATAACCGCGGCCAAGCGGCCAAGTAGATGGCCACGGCCATCGATGACTATGGCCTGAAAAAAGATTTAGTATTTAATGGTGACGTCCGATGCATCGCAGCGGTGCTTGTACCGGATCCTATAACACATAACCTTCAAACATTTATCTATCGCAATTGAAATAAAGCGATTATAAACTTTATATGTAAGAATATAAACAATTTTTTTTATGTAATTGCTTTCATTTTTTTATTTAAAACGCCTTTATGTTTAAAAGAATGAACAAGTAAAACAAGCACGTGTAATGAACAGTAGTGCGAGGGCATTAATTCCTAACACGAACTGTTCACTGAACACACAACTGAGTTTATCCTTACTTCATTTAGAAACAGTTAATTAGCTAAAAAGTAAATTTTATAAATATATACTATTTTTTTACTTCACCTTATTACTAAAACCCGTCATTTTCACGACAACAAAACGGAAAAGGATTACTTTTTAAATTAACATGGCGACCGGATGCTCGACTGATTTTAAATGACGTTCGGAAATACGACTTTTGTTTAATAGTGCTCATGAATTGTGTATCAAAATTTTTATACCTTTATTGATAATGTTTACTGTGAATGAGAGTAATTTACAAAATAAAAATTTTAAAACTAGAGGGAATGCCATATGGGCGTAACTCGACAACGACAGTTAAGCAAAAGTGTCACTAACTGGAGCCAATATGAGCAAATGCGTTGTACCACGGAATAGAGAAAACAGTAGAAGTAGTTCTCACAGACTCTTATACCGGACTCGCTGTCGCCAAACTCACACAAGTAATGCTTGTGTCGTATTTTGAAATAGAAATGTATGTTAGCTGCCAATCATTAACTATTTACAATATTTAAACTTAAATTCTAATTGCTATTAATTGAAAAATATACTTTATATTCTAGACATTAACATTTCTTTTCTGAATGACGTACAATGTATTTGTAACGTTTTTCGTCTCAAACTCTTACAAGAAAAAATATCAAACGAGTACTACCACTCGACACCAGACGTCCTTATCTCATGGAATTAAAGGCAATAATCATCACCTATCACTACTTCACACATGTTTAAATTTCTAGTAGTTAAAGTTGTGTATATACTTAAATAGAGTTTTTCGATATTTTAGTTTTATTGCAACCGTGGTAAAGAGATCCAATACTTTTTTGCTCTGTATAGAGCGTTCAAATTTGTGTAGTAAATTAATAATAATAATAATAATAATAAATAATAATAATAATAAATAATAATAATAATAAGCTTGTCGCCATCCCGGGGAGTCGCTTCGGCATGTTATTTCCGGTTGTTCCATGCTTTCTAACTCTGAGTATCTGCATAGACACAACCTAGTAGCCAGAATCCTACACCAGGAGCTCGCTCTGAAATACGGCCTCGTGGATCGGAAACTGCCGTACTATAAGTACTCTCCGGAGGCCGTGCTCGAAAATAACCGCGCCAGGCTCTATTGGGACCGGCCCATCATCACGGACAGGACGATTGTCGCGAACAAACCTGACATCGTGGTGATGGACCGGGCACAGTCGCGGGTATTTTTGGTCGACATTACCATTCCATATGACGAGAACCTCGTGAAAGCCGAAACAGATAAGAAGACAAAGTATCTGGACCTGGCTCACGAGGTGACCAACATGTGGGGTGGTGTGCCGGCCGAAATTACCCCGATAGTCGTGTCTGCGAATGGGTTATTCCCAGTCAGCCTCTCCAAACATCTGAGGCGACTGGGACTCCGGGACGGATCGCTCCAAGCTCAAATGCAGAAAGCGGTGCTCCTCGATACCGCCCGCATCGTCCGCCGGTTTCTCTCCCTATCGCCCTAACCCTCGGCCGTTTGGTCTCCCCTGCCGTGGGCTTCCGTCTGGTTGGGTCCTATTTATATACGTATTATATAAAATATTTTTATAGGTATGTTTATTTTTATCCATAATATTTATTTTACATATGCAATATGTATCTATATTTTTATTTATAAACCCAACCAGACGAGGAAACAAATGAATATCCCGCCATAATAATAATAAAATATCTTTATTCACATAGACGCTTGCGCGTTCTTATGAAACGTAAAAATTTTACAAGAAATTAACACGTTCGTAAGTTACCACCGGTTCGGAAAGCAGTTTCTGTTGAGAAGAAACCGGCAAGAAACTCAACGGTTGCTCTTTTTTAAAAAATCAGTTTACAATATAATAGTACAGGTACAATAGTCTTGTTTTAGCCTACGTGAGTAAATATTAAATAATAAATTTATTAAGGAAAATAATAATGAAAATATGGCTTTTTTTTGTTATAAGCAGATAATTTTCCACATAATTTTATTAACAAATCATTATGCTTCATTGAGATGGCATGCAATTGATTCTGCCAATTGCGTTTATCCACTTTTTTAAAAAAAAAACTCCAATTAAAATAACTCCAAATAAAACAATTAAAATAAGTATATACTCAAGATGTACATGATTGTTTACAGTAAAATTATAACTATGTTAATGATATAAATGTACTGATTATTACATGTTTTCTTAAATCTGTCATCAAAGTGTTATTGATATCGATACTATCTGTAAAGCTAATTTTTACTTCACCAACTGAATAGCAAAGAACCGTCTAGGAACCGAAAGTGGCATGTTTTTTGACAAGAATAAATACACTTTAATACTTTAAAATTCAGATTATCTCTTGTGTGTATTTCAAATTAAATTTTCGATTTTTCGTAAAATTGATACATTTTATAAAATATACTAAAATAGCTCTGCTTGTGATGTGAATCGCTTTCTTTTGAGACCTGTTTTTCAGCCATTACTTTTGCAATCATAAATTACACAATACAGCATTATTATATGATAATTTTTTTATTGAAGTTATCCAACATTTACAACAGTAAATCTATGTAAAATTATATATTATCTAATAAACCTAGTCTACACGGCAAGAATGCTAGCTATATTTCCTTTCTGAATAGTTATACTTAACCTTTAAGCGAGAAAATAACCAGCTCTCTTATTACCAGCCGCGACGTTAAACCTAGGACGTAAACTTTTTTTAAATTTTGATGGGGTCCGTGAGGGGAACTTCACTATTTGAATTGATGATTCTGATCATTAAGATCATTCTGCTCAATTCAGAGCGTTTAAACATCCTTTTGGCAACTAAAATGAAATTTGAAAATCCATTTGACAGCTGATTAGTTGACATCTACGATGATCAGAGTTTCAGAAACCGGGCGTCAGTATATAATCTATGGTATCAGTCAATACATAAAAGTTAAAGCAAATGAAATGTCATTGTCAAACAATTGTTGACAGATAAATAAAGTAAATTTTGGACATAGGTATGTTTATTTCTGGTTTTAGCCTTCATAAAGCAGCGGATAAATATAATGTAATCTATTTTTAGGAACCTCATATTCCCATGTCGTGAAATAAAAACAATGGTTTGGAATTAAAATAATGAAATATAAATAATCTGAAGAAATGGATATACCGTACCGAAAGATATTTATATATATTTTAACTTTTGTCGCCTACGCATATTCAGGAGTAGGCTCAAATATTTTACGAAATTTGAAGGATGCGGTTCTATCAGCCGAATCAGTGTTTGGAGACATGTTTCGCAATGTTATAACAGTAGCAGAGAAATTTCGATCTTTGCATGATGTATTTGACGCTGCTATCGAGGAAGATTGTGTTTTTAATTGCCCCACTGGTGAGTGCTTTATAATTTAGATAATTTTAAGTCGAGAACTGCTTTAAGGTTCCTTTATGATCTGTTAATTACTTCTGATTTACATCCAATTGTAAATTACAGGTTTTCAGTATGTGCCAATTATAATTTAATTTCAGGTCATAAGCCAGTCAGAAATAAAAATCACATACCTAAAGCAGACGGTTGCGGATCATTAGGTGTTGATATTTCTTCTGAATATTTGCCTATTCAAGAGATGACAAAATGTTGTGATAAACATGACATGTGCTATGATACTTGTAACAGTGGTAAAGAAATATGTGATTTAGAATTTAAGAGGTGCTTGTACAATTACTGCGATTCATACAAGTCTATAAATGTTGCAGGAGATACTATTACTAAGGGTCTGTATGTCTCAGTGTAATGCTTTAATTATTATACTATGATGTAATTTTATGTCTAAAATTGTTAGGTAAGATATTATTCATTTATTTGCCAGATCCTAGTTTAAAAATTTTTTTGACAATACAATATCTTTGGTATGATTTGACACAAAAAGTTTGTCTGAAAAATTTAAATAAAAAATATTCATAAAAAAAAATTACAAGGTATAATAGTGGTATTCTCACCTCTAAAAAGAATTCACAAACATCATCCCTTGAAAGATATGACAGTATATCAATATGCTTACATTAATTTAAACTCTTTATTTGAATTATGAAATTTATAAAAATAATAAGTTATATGCATATAGTTATAAAATATGCTATGCCACATAATTTGTTTAATTATGTGATCTGATGTATTTAAATAGTTTATTAAATAATTTATAAAAAAGGATGAAAAGAAAGCCTTACACCACTGCAGGAATCAAAGCCACGTCATCCAGATTCATGCTCAAGTGCATTAACCACTATGAGATAAGCACAATAAAAATTTTAATTTCATAAAAGAGTATATATCAGTATTAAAAGAAAAATTGTTTATTTTTTATTTCAGGTTGCAAAGCAGCTGCTAAGTTATTGTTTACTGGTACACTTACTTTAGGCTGTAAGTCCTATTTGGATGCACAGAAAAATGCCTGTTATTGTCCATCAACCAAGAACAATAGACACAAGAAGTATACAACGGGTGATGGTGAACTGTAAACTTTTATGAATCAAAGCTTTGTTTAGTCTATATGATTTTATTAATAGGGTTTATTTATTTATGTTCTAAATTGTTGTTAATACAATCCTTTAATAAATATTAATTGTTTTTTTTATGGAAGTGATTAAATAAAAACATATTTGATTTTTTAGTTTTAATTTTAGCAATAAAAATCTGTGGCCTTCCTGGCTTTACACACCTTATTATAAAATAATGTATTTGCTAAATGTTTTAAGAGCCCCTGAAAAATTGGTGCCATTGCAAATGATAAATAATATTACTTTATCTTATTTATACTCTAGTGCAATGTCTGTACAATAGTAAGGCATTTACTGCCACTCAATACAGGCTGTTAGTAATAAAAAAACTAATACCACTAATGGACGCAGTCAGTACATATGTTTCTACTTTCATATGTTGAGCATGTAAAAATAATTCATTGAATTTAAATAAATGCATGTAAAAATATGATGGTTGCTTTCTTATCCAACCATATATGATTTTATCTTAGCTTAAAAGAAATAAGAATGTGAGCGATTTTTTTGAGAATACTTTTATGATTTTGGTTTTAAATTAATAAGTTCTTATGTTAAGAGCTCTTTGATTTCCTCTTTCTCAGCTGCATCTATATATGGAGTACCGTCTGGAGTTTTACCACTCTTAGATGCACCCTGTAACAAGACGTTTAGTAAGATTTTATTTTTTAAATACTTACTTATTTCAAAATAATACTTGCATGTTTCAATAAAGTTTTAACACAATCCGTATGGCCCTCCCATATAGCTGCTAGTATGACTGAAATACCATGTTTATCAACCATCTGTAAAGATAAATATGATTTTAGTCTACAACTATTATTAATAGTTTACAAACACAAATGTTGTGCCAATTATTCTATCATTACAATATGACAAGAAACCAAAACAGATTTAATATAAATTATTTTTTTAAGGTAAATTGTTTTTTCTTACATTAGGATCAGCTCCCTTATCTAGTAAGTAGTTTAATACAGCTGTTTGTCCATAATCAGCAGCATAGTGGAGAGGTACCCGGCCGTCAATAAGTGCGTTGACATCAATTTTCTAAAAAGAAAAATCTAAGATTGCTTTAAAACGAAATAAACACAGTTTTCACTTTGAAAAAATATTGGTGACGATTTTCAAATGTAATATGCAATCGCAGTCATTTGAAACATTAAAAAGAACAATGATATGAGCCTTTTCCGACTAAAAACATTGTACATTAACCAAACCATTTTAGTAAAATGTCCGTACATTTTTTTCTATTATATCTTTTACTTGATCTATATCACCGTTTTTAATACCCCAAACTAATTCACTCATTTTTATGTACTTCCAAAGATGTTACTGTTTGTATGTCTAAAAGAAACGAAGGCAGTCCAATTGCAATTCTGAATGGTAATATTAGTAAAAAAAAAGGTGACAGATGAGACAGAGACAGTGCAGAATATGGTGTTTTATAGATACTCAGAGTAATACAGATACTAAATACGCTGTGTATTGCAGTTATATTAAAACGTAACTACTTGTGTATCACTAGAACTATACTCTGTTAACTTGGTGGCTTTGACAACTTTTTCTAAGAAGTCCGCTGGTAGATGACCTACTTAGGAGAGAACAATAATACTGTTGCACGATGGAAGTTATAACGCCGTCCGCACCGCTTCAACTCCACGACCCCTGACAACGACAGATGGAACATCAATTAACAGGGCAGAACGACACTATTCAAGGGCCCTTCAGATGAAAGTTCGAAAATTAATTACTTAAAAAATCCGGAATTATGTCGGACTTGCACCGGATTATGTCGGAGGGGCGCATTCAGCGCGCCTTGTTACTCAGCCATTATATAGCCAACGAACTCCCCCGAGTTCACTGACCGGGGCCATGAGAGCCAGGAGAGCCTGTGCTAATAAGCAGCAAGCCTCCCAGCCACGAGCGGCATCAGCGGTGCAGCCCCGTCGAGTCGCGGAGGATAGGGAGAGCGGCCGAACGCAATACTGGCAGTCCACTTCCCCCGCGACTCCTTCTCAATCAATAAATTAATCAAAAATCCCTCTCAGTGGCAGAAAGCAGGGAGAGTGGCTCCTCCTCCACCACCCTCAACCTGTCCCCTGCACCCTCCAGCCCGCATCCAAAGTGGGCTCAATGAGCCCACTCGGAGCGGCCCTCTCGGGCCGGCCTTACACCACAGGCCGGCCCAGTGTGGGATCCTATTAGCTTCGACTTGGGTGACCAAGCCACGGCTACTAAGCTCCTCCGCCACGTCAAGGTGAGGTGATGACTACGTGGCGCAGTTGCCAAGGTATCGGCTTCGGCGTCGGGGGTCGTGGGTTCGATCCCCAGACGGGACAAATATTTGTGTGACCCACAGATAGTTGTTTCGTATCTGGGTGTTTGTCCGCGTGAAATTTATGTTTGTAAAACGTCCTTACAACACAGGATAATTTTAACGTAAAATAAGGGCAATGTAATAAAACAAAACAAAATTAAAAAAGGTACCTGGTTGGAGGGGCTGCTGCGTGGCCCTACCACCGTAGGAAAGTATGAATGATAACCAAAATTAACCTAACGGTATTCTATTCGCTCCAATGGACAAAACGTCGCGCTAATATCGTTTTGCTTGGTTTTGGTTATGGAACATTTTGCATAACTATTAACTAACTATATTGATCGTCATCCGTCTAAACATAGTGGTTACATTGTAATGTGTTTCCCAACCTTGAACCTTTTTTGCGTCATGCCCCACCTTAGCCTTTCTAAAATTGTTATGCCCCCCCCCCCCCCAAAAAAAAAAAAACAACATAATTAAAAAAAAAATTAGTGTTATTCTTGCGCTTGATACGTGCTGCACATAGATTTTATAGTTCCAATTTGGTTAGCCTGAGTCTGAAGTCTTGACGTTGTGTTACCAGTAAATAATTTACAGCACTAAATCCACATTCAGATAAAAATGAAGATGGAAACGGTAGCAATAGTTTTATTGCACATTTGGTTGAATTTGGGTATTTCATTTCTGTTTCCTCAAAAAGCGAAAGGGTTAAACTCGTGTTGAGCCCGTTTTCGAATTGCCCCCCTTAACAATCAAATTCCTCCTCTGTGGGGCGTGGCCCCACGTTGGGAAACACTGACGGAGAAAACAATTTATTTTCTCTGTCTACCGGCTATATTCTCTTTGGTTTAAGGTTTTTTGGTATATTCACTAGTCAGTAATCTTACTTGCTTGTCTTTTATGTAATGTAATGTCAATTGTCAAAGTCAAAATCAAATTTAAACAAAATATACGTTGAGTTAATTTTTGTAATTTGTACTTATATTTGCTTAAATGTGTTAGTATATCAAAATGATTTTTAGTATATTATAAAAAAGATTGATTTTGAAAACTATAACATGGAAATTAACACTTTAAATAATTTTTATAATGAGCTTCCAAACGACGTTCAAGTTGCCACTAAGTCGATAGTGGTACGTTAATAAAAAGTTATCCATAAAAGTTTATATAAATTGTTTATATAAATGTTTATAAAAATAAATAAATAAATTATCCCTAATATATCTCTTATTTTTATTTTAAGGAAACGTTCTTAACGAAAATATACCCATCATTGAAAAATCTTGGAAGTAACATAAAAACATTGTTAGAAAACGATGAAAGCCGTGAAAAAGTGATTAGCATTTACAATGTGTTTATCCTTTGTATTAGTCAAATAAATAAATGCTATGTCACAATGATTGATATTCTAAAATTAGAACATCATAACCATCTTTTATTGCTGGTATGTAACAGTGTAGGGATTTGTGTTTTGTCTTGATGGGGTTGGGTACTAAGTTACAATGACCACTGCCAATTAGAAGTATTGTAGTCTTCCCTTAGAAAATATTGCCCCCTTACTGTAGGATAACATTATCCCATGTTGTGCTTAAAGTACAAAAATTTCATGTGGGCAAACCTAGTTCCTAAACCATTATATGTGGGACATACAAATAGTTGTCTTGTGTTGATTCAAACCCACAATCCCTAGCAGTGAAGCCAATTCCTCGGCAACTGCAAAATATTAATTTATTTACTAATCAATACAGAAGGTATCAATAATATATCTTGAGTGAGAGTGTGATGAAAATACTGGGTATAGAAGTAAGGGTTTAAGCCTAATGTTATTGAGACAAGAATATTTATATTTTTTCTTCCTAACTTTTAACTTAAGGCCTCAATGTGTTTCAACAAATGAGGCATAATATTTGAAATAGGCTCTTAATAGTTATATTTAAATTGTTTTAAACTAGTTACATTATTGTTTTTAATTATTCACATACCTACTATTGTTTTTTGAATACTAGTTTTTTTAAAGGCTGTTTATTTCTATTTTACATGATACACCTATAATTTTTTTTGTTATATATTTTATTGTTTCATTGCAGGAAAGTAGGCAATGTACCTTAGAAAGGTTATCATGGTGCTGTAATAGGCTTTGGTCTATTGAGAAAAGACTAAAAGTAATACACAAGGAAGATTTGTATGACAGCTGCCTAGATGAATCCATATTTGTAACACCTATGTACTTTGTTAATTGGATTGATCAAACATTTGATATTTTAAATAAACTGTCTGAATTAGTTTCTAATACTTGTAGTAAAAATAGTGAAGAGTTATACAACAAGTGGAAGAATGAAGTAAGTTTTTCCAAGTTACTACAAGCTTTTTTATTTTTATCTATAAGTATATTTTTTTACCATTTTGATAGAGAATACAGTAAAATCTGGATAAAATGATGCCTAAGGAATGGGCGGTATTATAATATATGTATTAACTCATACTAATGATGCACAAAATGGGTGGATAATTTGATTGTGTTCTTATTTATTTAAAATATACATAATGTAGTAAAGTAACAACCTATACACATCACACTGCAGGGCAAAGGCCTCTGTATAGAGGCTATCAGGGCATAGTTCCGATGTGGCCCCATAAAATATTTTTTTTCTAGTTATTTCGGAAATTTACAGGTTTCCTAACGGTGTTTTCTTTTAAGATACAATGTACATATTGTACTTCCATTATATGCATCTATATAATCACTTACAGATAGTCTGAAACTTCAGTTTGTTTCTGGTTGATTTTTGTTTGATATTAAAAACTTCATACGTAGCATTGTGTATTGAATGACATTTGTTATAAGTATTTATTTTCTTTAAAAAACTTTGACTTACAGATGACAGAATCCCTAAGCAGTTTACATACATTAATAGACGAGTTATTACTATCTGCTATGACATTATGTAGGTACTGTTTGCCTGCAGATCAGCATATTATAAAGGCAAGGTGCCAAGTGGTACGTATATATCTTGAGAATGTGAATTGGGACTAAAAATATTAATAAACATTTGATTAAAAATTAAAAATGCCATTTGTAATATTAATGGAATATTCTTACAATACTGTTATAACGTAATGTCAGTAAACATAATTTTATTTTATGTCATATTCAAATTCAACTTGAAAATATCTTTATTCAAATATACGCTTGCATGTTCTTATGCAACATTAAATTTTACATAAAAGTTCATACATAAGTTCGTGAGTAAATTACGACCTGTTCGGAAGGCACTTACTGTTGAGAGACAAGAGACCGATAAGAGAATCAGCAGTTGCTCTTTTTTTTAAATCAGTTTATATAACATAGGTATAATAGTTTAATTGTAGCCTACATGTGTATCGACAGTATTAACTCCACACATTGGTGTTGTCGAGATATCTTGCTTATTTCAATAAAACTAAAATGTAACGTTGTACACATTTAATGATCGGAAACAGACTGCCGCGCCCGGCAGTACATACATAACATTTTGTATTTTATTTGTCTACCCACAATATACGCTACATCCCTCCACCATAATTACAAACTATATAAAAAGTATAAAACAGATAAAAACAGCTTAATACAACAGAATAAAAACATAGTATAACAAGTATGTAAACAATTTAACAATTATATAATGTTATCAAAATTTATACTTAGGATTATTATTTCTAGTCGATCTTATAGGATAACGGTGTTCATTTTCGCTCGTTAACAAAATATCATTTTCCGGGATACAATCAACAAACTCATCCTCACATTCCCCCTCTGACGCCAAATTTGAGTTTGACTTTGATGATGGTACATTTTCTCCCGTGTCAGGGTTGAAATCGTAATAATCGCCAAATTCATTATCTATATTGGTACTTGTATCAGAAATATTATTATTAAATGTTACATTTCCCTTATATTTTAATAACTGGTCAATATGTTTCTTTAAAGTTAAATTTAATTCGGGTATATAAACGTTATACATCATTGATTGAACCTATTTTACTTTTTACAATGCCTCGTTTCCAATTACATTTACAGCCATTATTATAAAAATACTTAACTAGTACACTATCTCCTGAATAAAAAACTGTTCTACGATGCCCACCGTGTTGTTTACTCTGTGAGATCTGTTTTGAACAAACATTGTTATTAGCATCATTGGACAACGAAATTGAAAGCGGATTTGTCGCGGTCATTAAATCAAAACGACATCGTAAGGGTCGTCCTAGCAACAGTTGCGCTGGCGAAAAACCAGTTGTGCAGTGTACAGAATTGCGGTAGTTAAATAAAAATTCATTAATTTTATTTATTATTTTAGCTTGCTCATCATTTATTCCGAGAACACTTTTTAGACCTCTTTTTATTGTTTTAACACTGTTTTCCGCTTGGCCGTTTGATGCTGGGTGATAAGGTGCGATAGTAATGTGTTTAATACCGTTAGATAAGCAAAACATTTCAAACTCCTTTGAACAAAAGTTAGGTGCATTATCGGAAACTAATACTAACATAAGACCAAATCGACTCATCATGTCATATAATTTATTAAGAATAGCCTTTGTATCAGTTGTTGACAGGTAGTAACATTCAACCCATTTCGAATGCGCGTCGACTGCGATTAAATATTGCTTACCGTACAATGTAAACAAATCTAAATGGACTCTCTGCCACGGTTCGTTCGGGTATGGCCACGGAGCGAGCGGAGAACGAGGCGGAGCGGCTCGCATGTTATTACATACACAACACGAAGCAATTTTTTCTTCGATGTGTTTGTCTATATTAGGCCACCACATACGTGATCTCGCTTCGGTTTTTGTTTTTACTATGCCAAAATGGGGCCTATGTAATTCTTCTAGTAATTGTTCACGAAAAACGGCGGGAATTATTAATTTATGACCTCTTAAAATGCAATCATTTTCTATAGATAACTCTAATTTGCAGTTGAAAAACGGTTTAATAATTTCGTCTGATATTTTTCGTGGCCAGCCCTTTTTTATATAATTACTAACTACTTGTAAGGTCTTATCGCGTGCTGTTTCATGCTGAATGTCTTTTAGCGTAATAGGTTTAAAAATGAATCGTACATAAAATTGATGAATAGTGACTGCTCTGAATCAAACTGTTCTTCATTCTCTGGGGCGCTTCTTGTCGACCGTGAAAGGAAATCCGCAACATTATTTTCGCTACTTATATATTCAATTTTGAAATTATATGCCGATAAAAAATAATGCATAACGCTGTAAACGATTAGCGGCTAAGTCGGGTACTCCTTTTTTGTTTCCAAATATCGATAGAAGCGGTTTATGATCCGTCCTTAATAAAAATGGTGTAGTACGACCATATAAATAATGGTGAAATTTTTTTATAGCGAAAACAATGGCAGTTGCCTCCTTTTGTATCTGCGCATAGTTTCGTTCAGGCTTGGAGAGCGATCTCGAGGCATAAGCTACTACCCTCTCGGAGCCGTCCGCGTGCCGCTGAGCCAGCACGGCGCCGAGGCCTTCGGGGCCTGCGTCTGCTGTCACTACCGTCATTAGATTAGGATCGTAATGAGCCAATACCCGGTCCGACGACAACTCTTTTTTAATTTCAATAAATGCCATATCATGAAGTCTAGTCCATTGCCATTTCACACCCTTTTTTAATAACGTGTGCAACGGACTTAGAATGCTAGATGTGTTCGGTATAAAACACCTATAGTAGTTAATCATACCTAAAAAAGATTTCAGTTCAGATATATTTTTGGGACATTTCGAATTCATAATTGCTTCAATTTTTTTATTCGATTTTCGCAAGCCATTTTTATCAATTATAAATCCTAAATACTCAACAGAATCCTTAAACAATTCACATTTCTCTTGTTTCAATCTTAATCCTGCGTCTTCTAACTTATATAAAACTTGTTCTAATCGCTGTAAATGAATTTCATCTGTGGGACCGGTAACTAAAATATCGTCGAGAAATATGCATGTACCTTCTATACCATTAAGCAATTGTTCCATTGTTTTTTGAAATATTAATGGTGCTACGCATAAACCGAAAACGAGTCGATTGTACTGAAACAAACCTTTATGTGTATTAATGCATGTAAGTTTTCTAGTTTCGTCTAATTCTAGCTGATTATACGCGCGCGACAAATCTAGTTTGGAAAAAACGTATTCCCCCATGTAATTTTGCAAAAAGGTCCTCAATTTTGGGCAGTGGATAATTATCCATATATAATACCTTATTTAACGTAACAGAATAGTCCCCACATATTCGAATATTTCCATCGGGACGTAAAACTGGTACAATAGGTGTGGCAATATTCGAATATTCGACTTTTTCTAAAATGCCTAATTGGATTAATCGTTGTAACTCTTCTTCTACTTTTGACTTTAGGGCTAACGGAACTGGACGTGGTTTAAAAAATTTTAATTCTACGTCCGACTTTAATTTTAAATTAATTTTATATTTATTAAACTTTCCTAATTCGTCTGTAAATAATTTTTTATACTTTTGTTTTAAAATTTGAACATATTTCTCGCTTTTTATATTATGACAATTTGCAATGCATAGCTCTAAATTAAATTCACTGATAAAAATCTCTCCCTAACAAGGCTGGTTGATTAAGATTCGTCGTAATGATAAAAAATTTAATTGATTTTACAACATTTTCATGTGAGACGGGTAATAACAAATACCCCAAAGGTATTATTTTAGTCCCGTTATAACAGTTTAAGATAATGTTACAATTATGTAAATGCATTTGACTAAAAAATTCCTTATAAATTCTTTCGGGTAAAATTGACACTGCACTGCCACTATCTATTTCGCACAAAATATTAATGCCAGAGATTGAAATTAACTGTTGCATAGGACTACCGTTGGTACACCTAATGCTAAATAAGTCATACGCACCTTTTACCAGATCGTCATCCGCCGATGTTATGTAATTGTTTCTCTTTACCCGAGCTGAACACATACGTTTTAAATGTCCCGATTTGCCACATTTTTGGCAAGAATAATTAATGAAACGACATTTTTCCTTTGTGTGGTTATTATAACCACAAACAGTACACGGATTATTCTTCTTATTACTTCGTGTTGGTAGTAGCAAGTCAGTAGATGAGCGCGCGATGTCGTTGCTTCGCCCGCCATTATTCGCTTTCAACGTAAATACTTGCTGTTCGGTAGAACTCGACGATGTTGCCCCCGACGTTTGTAATGCTAATCTAGCACACCTCACACTTTGCGCCAACTCTAACGCCTTGTTAAATGAGAGGGTATCGACATTTTCAGCAAACAATTTCTCCTTTTCTTTCGTATTCTCCAGGCCCAAAACAAATCGATCACGGAGTGCCGTATCTAAATCGTTCTTAAATCCACAGTAAGTAGCAAGACAGCGTACACGAGCCGCCCATTCTGTCAACTCTTCGCCGACCCTTTGTTCCGCTTTGTAGAACTTGTACCGCTCCGCAAATGAACTTCTTTTTGTAATGAAGTGACTGTCCAATATTCTGACTAACTTCGTATAATCTATAAGTTCTAGTTCATCTGGAAAAACGATGTCCCTTACAGTTCTGTAGGTATCTTCCACTAAGGATGTTAGTAATAACGCTCTTCGCTTGAAACCTCGTTTATCTAGCTCTTCTGTGATATCATTAGCCGCACAAAATTGAGAAAATCGACTTTTATAAATTGCCCATTCTTGTGTTCGGTGATCGAACGTGAGGCTATTTCCAAACATCACATTTTGGTTACACGCCATGTTGTACGATTTACAATCCACGCGTTAAAGTTCAACTCGTCGCCAAATGTAGTGTTTGTACGTCGAAGACGTTATTTCAATAAAACTAAAATGTAACGTTGTACACATTTAATGATCGGAAACAGACTGCCGCGCCCGGCAGTACATACATAACATTTTGTATTTTATTTGTCTACCCACAATATACGCTACAGGTATACTATGCTTTGACCATAGGTTTACTTTTATTTTTTTGTTTATATTGATCAAGAGGCAGACTTAATATCCACAATGGAATTTTATTATACATGTGCATGTATAATGCGCATGTATACATTTTGCCTAAGAACAACCTATTTACTTCTTGTAGAAAAATACAACATATAATTATTTATATATATTTTTAGGTGTTAAGAGAAACAAGAGCACTTCTGAACGATGTTGTTGATGGGGATATGGAAAATATGTTGGATCATTGTAATATATCACTCAAGTTGCCCATTAAACCAACAAACATAAATGTGTTGATAGATGTATTGAAAGATGTACTATATGTATTGGAAACTAATACTAATACTGCTTTATTATCACTTTTGGTTCATTGCTTTAGTCATAGTATATCACAAGTAGATATTCTGAAAAGCCATTATGTTGGTTATAAAAGAGGTCTGTGTGAATGCTTAGGGAATAGTGAAGATGAAGTAACTGAACTTTGTAATTATGTAAAGGAATTTGATTTGTATAATGAAAGGCTATTGCAAATAGGATCTTTTGCAGTGTCTTGTTCATCTGATGAGAAAAGTAAGTTCTAATCTAATCAATATGTTTTTTTCTATTTTTGATTATTATTTATTTCATTGACTTATTTTTCAGGGATTCTAGCCCTCCGGAGCAATCTTGCGACTCTAGAAGCTTTAGATCCTCATTTGGTTCCAGCATTAATAATGTCTCCCGAGAGCCATCATTCCTCACTGTTAAGGAATTCTTGGAATAAGGAAGTTTTGGAGATTAGAGATAGCATTTTTCTAATTGTGGATCCTGCTGCTTTTGCAGAAGTAATACAATTGTTTTAATTATAAAAACAACTCAATGAAATAGCTTTCTCTATATATTAATTCAATTAGTTTCCATAAGCTGATTGGTTGAAGTATTTGTTTGCCATATGAAGTATTCCTAGATTGAAAGTAGCTATGCCATTTACCACAAATGATTGTCACTTTATAGGTATGGTATATATTGAGAAAATAAATGAATTTACTGTAAATTACTAAAAGGTAACTTTCTTATAAGATGTAATGGCTTTAAAGGTTCTTACAGAGGAAGAAAAAAGCAAATAGGCACAAATATTTTTACATTCAGGTGCCTACAACCTATAGGTTTAAAGTTATAATTTTTATAAAATTTTGGTCTCAGGTAAAATGTCTGGGCAACTAATTTCTTTTAACATGTATATAGTACAGTGGTATTGTACTGATTTTCTTTAGTACCTAAAACCTACTACCTAACTAACCTAAAACAGACTAAGCAGGTGATAATTCTTACATGCATTTCTAGTTATTACTTGTTAAAAGCATACTTTACATTAATTTACTAGTCTACTTTGAATAACTATGTTTCACATTTTGTATTTCAGAAGGCAAAACAAATGATGCACCAAAAACTATTGGATACTTTAAAGGATACCTTGTATGATAATAAAAAGATATGTTCTTTCATAAATATAGGTTGTCTGGTGTATGAGTTCTTTAGTGTGTATAATAAATATGAACCAGATGCCATAAGTGAAAATAAAAAACTACTACCTCTCTTGTCCGATTTAAATAAAGGTATGTTAAATAAAATAATATCTACATAATTACAAAAAAACATATCATATTGTGTCGGGGCCATGGAGACACTCCGGAAGTATGAATGAATGAAATGAATGTAATATACTTTATTGTACACAAACAACGGATATTGAATAATCAACAAAAAATAACACAAAACTATACAATAGGCGGCCTTATCGCTAAAAAGCGATTTCTACCAGGCAATCTAGTAAAAGGAGATAGTAAAAACAGTAGCATCAGGTAAAACATCATATATAAATATATACGTTAAAAATAATGTATAAATATATCATCATCATCATCATCATTTCAGCCTGTTTGAGTCCACTTCTGAACATAGGCTTCCCCCACAGACTGCCATGAAGTACGATCCCCGAAACTCTTCACCGCTGCGTTGGAAGATGTTTTCAAGCTTCTGGACTGGAAAGGATGAGGTATTAAAATCAATGGCGAATACATCACCCATCTTCGATTTGCCGACAATATAGTCATCATGGCAGAATCGCTGGAGGACCTGGGTGCTATGCTCAATGACATCAACAGTGTCTCCCAACGGGTGGGCCTTAAGATGAACATGGACAAGACGAAGATCATGTCTAATGTCCATGTCACGCCTATACCGGTTGTTGTTGGGAGCACAGAGCTCGAAGTTTTTGACGAGTACGTTTACCTAGGACAATTAGTCCGGCTAGGTAAGACGCAGCGGTCAATCGTCGAAACCAACTCGGATGGGCAGCTTTCGGGAAACTTCGGCAAATCTTCTCGTCGAATATACCTCAATGTTTGAAGACTAAAGTCTTCAATCAAGGTGTGTTGCCAGTGATGACCTACGGAACCGAGACGTGGTCCTTCACTGCTGGCCGTATGAGGAAGCTCAAAGTCGCTCAGCGAGCTATGGAGCGGGCTATGCTCGGTATTTCTCTGCGTGATAAGAGTTCGTAACGAAGACATCCGCAATAGAACAAAGATAACCGATATAGCTCAGAGGATTAGCAAGCTGAAGTGGCGATGGGCCGGCCATATAGCTCGTAGAACCGATAACCGTTGGGGAAGAAAGGTTCTCGAGTGGCAGCCTCGTACTGGCCATCGCAGTGTGGGACGACCCCCGACTAGATGGAGTGACGACCTGTGCAAATGTGCGGGAAGTCGATGGATGTAGGTGGCTCAAGATCGTATAAATATATAATATAATGTAATAATGTATATATTATACATATAAGTTGACAACATCGAGGAATGGAACACAATGATTAAGGAGGCATAAAGTGTTTTCTTAAAAGTCGCTTGAAAATAGCGATTGTGCCCGCCTAATGTGTAGTGGGAGAGAGTTCCAGAGCCGAACAGCTTCCACTGAAAAAGACTTACCAATGTTTACACTGGCTAAAATCAGAAAGTCGTTTCTTGGTAGATGTATTAACTTTTATAATAAAATAGGTGACATCCACAAAGAACTAAGTATTAACAATTTGTAAAAGCTACCCTAATGGAATACATTGAGGATAAGGATGTGTGGAAATGACTTTTGCTCTTCACTTGGAAGATATCTGGCTGCTACTGATTTTATACCTAAATAAGTTTGTATAATCATATCACAAAAATATCAAAAAAGAGATAGCAAGACCGCAGAGTTTCTTGCCAGTTCTTCTCAGTTCAGTTCAAGTTTAGTGAGTCGGTAGTAGTTCTTTTGACGTACAATAAGACCTTAAGTTAAGCCTATATTGAATAAAGATATTTTGACTTAACTTTGAAAATTAACACAAGCTTTTCTAAGTCCCTGCAAGCCAAAATTTACAATTTGATGATTCCGTGGCGCAGTTGCCAATATATTGGCTTCGGCGTCGTGGGTCGTGGGTTCGATTCCCACACGGGACAACTAATTGAAATAATGTCGATAAATAGGGGATAGGGGCCATCTGAGCGTATTGGAATTTGATGTTACGTAAAGATCAAATTCATTAATTATTTTTTTTTCAGCTCAATTGGAATGCAAAGCTGTTAGCGATATCCTATGTACTGGAGACGATTTTGTATATGGTGTAAGAAAATCCATGAAAACCATTTCTCTAGAACAAGTGCATAAACGCCTTAAGCTGCTCTACACTATTATCAATAGAATCAATACGCTGCTGCATCCAAAAGACAATGAAGACGAACTTTTCGCGAATGAGGATGACGTCGGAAATTATGACGTCACGCATTCAATACACTTTAAAAATAATGCAACATACGTGAATTCGCCTAAAAGGGTTCCAAATGCACTGTCAAGGAGCGTCTTTGCCAGAACAACCAATATTCGAACACCCGCTAGCAAAATTCCCCTGTTTAAGCTTACAAAGAATTTGAGGCAGAGAAAGTGCCTTAACATCAATTTTTCGGCACAATTGGAAGAATTGTGTAATGCTACGGATCAAAATGTAGCCAATACTAGAGATTCTTTATCATTTTTCTATTCACCGTTGAGGAAGCGACCGTCACTACGGAAAGCGGTTTTGAATAGACATAAACTCACAATTGAGAAAGATAAAGAAATTCCTAATGAGTCGAGTAAAACATTCGGAGACAGCAATTTGGTGGATGATTCGTTTGATTTTCAAATAACAGGTGCGTTATGTCATAGTATATTATTATCTTCAAAATTAGTTTTTTCTAATTATTTTGAAAATATACAGGTTTTCTCGGAATCTTTTCCTTTACCGCTGGTCACGTGATAAGTCAACATTTAAAATTAATATTTCATTGGTGTCGGCACCGGGATTTGATCTCGTGTTTCTCATATTTATTGAATTAATAGCGAACACCCAGACACTGAGCTATCACGGCAGTAAACTTTCAGTTTTTATTAAATTACAAATTTTTAACTAAAGTCTGCTTAGTATAAGTTAAATGTTTTAGGGTCGATTTATGGAAATCTCTATATATGACCCTATCTCTAAATGTATCTAATAAGGTTTGTCGAAACGCCATGACGTCCATAATTCTTATTGAAATTTAATGATTTAAGCAACATGATAAAATTTATGTTTACTGTAATTGAGAAAAAAAAAATAAGTTATAAATATAGTTAATGTAGCATACATTAACTATATTTATAACTTATTTTTTTTTTGCATAAAAAACATGTAGTTCACAAACATGTAAGAGATGTATGATAACGCCATCTATTAAAAATTTGTTTAAATGTAAGATAGTGAAGTAGACTGAATTTTGCCACTTCTCTTCAAAATAAGATAGCTTTCAGTGGTTATTTGCACATTATTATATTACCATTTGGTGATTGAACACGGTGCAACATGAAACTTTCATTTGGGTCGACTACTTTATATAAATTAATATTTTTATATTATATTTAATTATTTTTGAACAAATATTTCAGAGGTCTTAAATCAGATGAACGACTTGACCAACACTTTCACTTCAACCACACCATTAAAAATGGATGGATACGAGCATTCAAAATATAATGATGCTAAACGAAAAGGATCAAGACAAGACACAGTGTCTAGCTTCAATATTAACGACACAACCATCACCAAACGCGTCTGGAATATTCCAATTAACACCAGCGGTCCAGACTCAAATGTCACTCATATGACTATGAATATATCTCAGCCGTCTAATATAACTACTTTGGAGAGATTGAATGATTTAGACCTCGTCGAGAGTAAATTGAGCGATTTAAGGGTAAAGCAGTTGGAAACTAGTTTATAAGACAGTAAATTCCTTTGAAGTTTTAAATATCTGCTAAACTTATGTCCTAGTAGTTCTTTATACAATAAATGCGATTTATTGGTGACAAAGCTGTTTAGCGCGTTGGCTGCAGGAATTCGTGTCGTCGCTGTTTATTGTTAAGTACGTTGTATTTTCCGTCCAACATAGCGTGTATTTAATTTTAGCGATTGGTAATCATTTTTCATTAAGTACACATGATTGTTATAAACATAAAATATTTGTTTTCATTTTCGAGTCTAAAATTTAAGTCAAAGATAAGTTGTTAATAAACATTATTCAAAGAGTTGCTTTGTTTTATTTCGCTGTACAGTGATCTGTAATATTGTCTTAGTTGTTCTAGCTACAAGACATGTGTGTTAACGTTACACAAGCCACATGAGCGCCTTCCTAAATAATCTAGTAATAAACGTATCTAGATCTATTCCATTATAATTTTTCATTTTATAAACTTTATATGTACCGCTTTTATGGGATTAGCTTATATTAGCGCTTAGATGTAACAGTTAGTCTCAGGCCATATTCTACACAATTATTGTGTTGATCTATTTTTTTCTATCATCTTCAATTACGACGTCAGTGAAAAGGAAATGATGCAAACAAATAAATTTCAAGTTTTTACTCTTCAGTATAACGCCCTCTGGATAAGTAAACTTTCTAACACACAAATAATTTCTTTTGATCTTACGGGTATAAATAGACCTCGATATGTCGTAAACCTCGTTGCTATCCGAGTGGTTTCTTCCAGTTTTTCTTTCAACACGCTGATATTCCACGCTTTTATTCTTAGCCGAACTAAGAAATAGAAAATTAATAGTTTAAAAAAACTAAAAAACACTTTTGTAGATAACCGAATTTGAAAATTATTTTTTTACTTTTTAGTTCGGTTCTTTACAAAAGCGTATTTTAAAGTTTTTAGTTTACGGCCATTTTCTTTACAAAAGCGTGAATTTTTGGTTAGACCATTTGTTGTTTAGACCAAACTTTTATTTTCAATTTAATTACAACAGGCAAGAAACTGGCACGGGGACTTCCAGATTACGCCCAACTTTTAATTAATGAAGTCGTTTAATATTTTAGAGCGTCATGTATTTTTATTGGGACAAGAAAATGTTAATAGCTATAACACTAACCGAGTAAAGGTTGGTTTGTGTTTGGTCCAAAAAGCGCTTGGGTAGGAAAAAGTGACAGAGAGACAGGGCAAAAGAAAATAATAGAGATCTTTTTTCTGGTAGGTATAAGTGGGAAAAAAGGGTATGTTTATAATACTACCTGTTATTGCTCAAACGACTCAAGATTTACTGAATCACATGAACATGATGTACGAATTTTTTTATGTGAGTAGATGGCAAGCCAGCCGGCGGGCCACCTGATGTTAAGTGATAACCGCCGACCAGAGACATTTACAACATCCGTACGGTTGAAGATGCGTTGCCTCACTTACCAGACGGAACGCAGAAGTATATAGCTTCTACTACATGCCATGTCTTTTGTGAGGTTGTTGATACTTACCCGAACGGACCTGCCCATTTGTGCTATAGCGTAGACAGTAGCGTGGCTCTACCACAGTTAAAACGTATTTGACATTCAAGATTTTCTGGAGCATATAATATTTCGACTAATAAAGAGTATCTACATTACAGACGTAAGTAAACAGTATATAAGTTTTTACCATTATACTCCATTTTCAGTATGAATCATTTTTTGCCTAAATATTTATTAGGTAATATCATGAAATCTTAAAATGTTATTTATTTGAAAACTATGACTTACAGATTTACTGGGCCGTTACTTTATTGCTACGTAGCAATCCCAGTTATTAAATGCGATATTAGCTGGAAGCTTCCAACCGCCAATAAATCGCGGCACGATGGAAATAAGAGGATTTTGTATTCCCAGCACGCCCAATTATCGTTGATTTGAACGTGGGTTCGGATGACCGAATATACCTACCTATATAATAAGTAGGAAATATATATAATATATAATATGTAGGAGACATATACTACAGATTATAATTTAATAGAAAAATTAACACCTACAATTTATTTTATATTTGCAATATAGACTGGTGGGTACTTAGGTAGGTTAATTTAATTTAAGTGGGCATAACTTGACAAAATATTACAAAATACTAACTATGTACAATATGTGTAATATTTTTTCGTGGGTAGGCGTTAAATTAACAGGTGATTCAAAAGCTCTCGACTATTGTACATTAAATAAGAAATTACGTTTTGGGCCAGTCTAAGGCAAATGAGATGAATTAATACTAATTTAGAGTTTATGAAATTATTTACAGAATATAATTGGTTGGTTTTTTTTAAATCTGGGTTCAAAATTCTTATTTTTTTTTACTTTAACGTATTTGAGAAAATAATGCTGGAACAAATGATAAATATATCAATTATGATATCATAATGATACATAAATTTTTAAACCAGCATCCATTTGGTTTTATGATCTACACCTGATGCAGAAATAGAATCAGTTTTATGTGACTTTTCCAAGGCATTTGATTGTGTAGATCATACAATTCTTATCAAGTAATTGGAATATTATGGTATTCGCAAATGTGCCATTGACTTTGTTTCCTCGTATCTTACTGACACGAAACAAAAAGTAATCATAAATGGTATATTGTCATTGGGGTCAATAATGATTTGTCATTATGTGGTGGAAAAAAGGACTCAAGTTGTTTGTTTGCGGATGACACTTCACTATAGTTTAGATTTAAAAGAAAAGATGAATCACCAAATGAAATACTAGATGTGGTGTCAGGCTGGTTTGCTACCAATAATTTATTTTTCAACTCAACTAAAAGGAAATGTATTAGATTTACTCTATCAAAGTTGTCTCACCAGTCAGGAATCTCTATTGATAAGAAATGCCTACCCCCTTAAGGACTGAAAAGCATTTCTTGGAATATATATTAACTCCAAGTTACAATGGGGATTTCATGTAGTTAAGTTAGCTAAGAAATAGAGCGCTGTCGTCTTTGCCATACGCAAGATCAGGCAGCTAACTAACGAGGTAACAGCTAAATTAGTTAATTCTTCTTATACTTTGAGGTTCCGCATCCGGTTTAGATACAATATTTGTATGACAAATGCAGGCTATACGGGCTGTGTATGGCTATGGTCCACGTGAGTCACTACGGCATCTTTTTAAACAAATAAACGTTTACACTCTCGTCACACTCCCGCCCTACATACTCCAAGACATCTCCAAGACATGAACAAACACAAGCTTGTAACGCTAGTTACTAGACTCCTTAGAGAAGGTAACTCCTTCATGGGGCGTTGTATACCCTTTTACAACAAAATCTCAGTAAATGCGCAAAACCTGCCTATTAACAGGTTTAAGAAATTTATTAAAAGAAAACGTATATAAAAAGGGTTATTATAATACAAATGAATACATTAGTGACAATAACCCCTGTGAATGAGTTGATCGCTCCCAAGCTATTTCTAAAGGAAAAAAAAAACATCAGTTGTACAATATTTTAATTTTTTTAATAAAAAAAATGAATTACAAAAAAGAGGATACTTACGGAGTTTCTTTTGCCTGTTTCTTCTCCGCTAGAGGAACCTCATTACGAAACGGTGGTAGATTAAAAAAAATATGAATATCGATAGATGAAATATAAGTTTCTTATGTCGATGAATAAATGATTTTGATTTTTTTTATCATGTATGTACGTAATAATTCACCTATTTACAAAAAACATTCCACATCGCACCGTGGTGACACTCTGAAAGTAAGTACTCAGGTTTAGACTGAATAAAACCAGAAAGTTTTTTCTTGGTAGATGCATTAACTTTTATAATAAAATAGGGGACATCCAGAAACGACTAAGTACCTATAAACAATTTCAAACATTTTGTAAAAGCTATCCTAATGACAAGGATCTTTTATAATATCCAAGAATGCATTGAGGTCAAGGAGATAACAAGACCGTAGAGTTTCTTGCCGGTTCTTCTCTGGTTATGACTAGTTTAGTCAAAACTTAAAAAAATGCATGTAAATTAAAAAACATAGATTTTTCACAATGGTTTATAATCACATAATTTAAATATAGGTTGTTCGAGTATTGCTTGAATTTTACCTTGACATTAATTTTTATGTGGGAAATTGACAAGTAGGGCTGCAGATGCGTTGCTTCTATATAGATAAAAATATAGATATATCAAGATATATATAAGACATACACAAAAAATTTCTTATCGTTGCTAATCTTTAAAAAAGTAAGTCTCGGTTACTCACTAGAAGAAAAGTTACCGGTTATCAGAGAAAATGTAACAGTATAAAATATATTCTACTCAATGCGTACCCAGTAGATAGCACTATTTGGTCTTCGAGTCTTTTTTGTAATAGCAGTTGCTGCCACTTTAAAAGAGTAGAAAGTAGAAAGGTGATGATCTTATGGCGAAAGTGCAAGTTTACTTCCATTTCAAGCTGGTTCACTGTGAGCCCATGCTACTTTTCCGAACGCGCTTACTTATGATTTTACTCCAAGTATCATTCCATCATCGGTTTGAAGTTTTGAGAGTTGAAGGATGAAAAAAATATGCACCGGTATTTTAACGTGAACTAGGCAATCAGCTATAAACTAAGTACAAGAAACTCATCAAGCTTTATTATTCCAGACCTCGCCGGCGCGTCGGATAAACTTAGCCGAAACCGAAATAAATTTTTTATTGTTCTTGTTCTTTATAAGAGTTTTAATATTTATATCAAAAAATTACAAAAGTGCTGCAAGTTTACATCTAAAATCATCTTTAGAGTCCGGATTTTGTTAAACTTAATAGTAACTGATATTAATAAAAATCTAATTCATTGAGATCAATGCAATGATCAGGATTTATATTCCTCAGTGACATCTATCACATCAGTAAACTATGTAATAAAATGAAGTTATTACTATTATAATTTATAAAATTTTCATACAAATATTCATTGGCACAATATATACTGGG